AAATAAATGGCGTATGAACCTATTGCTGATGAATGACTACTATGAGACTGTATCCTCTGACGTTGCTCTACTGCTTTGTAGATTAGACTTTAAAGTTGAAGGCTATGGGTGTGGCCCTCTCTAAGAAAATCATCTGCTTCAATCTAAACACCCTGGCTGTATCACAGCCCACACACAAATCTGTATTCGATGCTTCCTTGTATCAATATTTCTATATTAAAATAAATAAATAAAATAAACACAAGTTAGAACATTCTATAATATAATCAAAGTTCCATCTTTTATTTCTATACTTTCAAATAGTTTCCAATTCATATCAGTTCAGTAATAAAAGTTAAATTAGATTCAGGAACGTTTTCTTCTATTTAAATCTTATAATTTTTCATATTAAATTATTTGATTATATCAATAAAATAGTTCAATAACAATTTATGAATAGGATACTCATAATTAAGCTTCAATGAAGTATGGATCTATCTTTCTTTTACTTAGTAACCTCCCCTTCTCCCTCTCTCTTTCTCCCTCCCTCTCTCTCTCTCGTTCTAACCTTAAATATCATTTGATTCATTTAAGTTTACTTATGAAGTTCATCACTACTATTTTTTTTTGTTTTACAAATCGTTTATTTCGTCGGGGTTAATGAATATTGATGCTTTAATGAATAAATATCAATCTTATTCAATATCATATATGGATAGATGGATAGAGATATACCTTTATATGAATATACTTTTCAATGATACAATTAAAACAATATAACTAGTAAAACTTAATTATTAATTATAAATAAATAATGAAAAAGTTTTCTATTTTTTTTCCTTTTTGAATAAAGAATAAAGGTCAAAATCGAAATTTATTTAAAAAGGTGAATGGAAGAAATTGTTGACCTTACTAAATAGACATTTATGTATATCTATCATACAGTTAATAAGGGATAAGAGAATACATACATACATACATACATACATACATGCAATATTTTATTATATTGAATATTGAATTCATTATAACTTGGATTTTAGTAAGATTCATCACAACACACTGTGTTCTTTTTCATAATAGTTATAGTGATATTGTGGTGTGAGCTACTTATATCCATATAAGTAGTATATAAAGATAATCAGGAATAGAAATGTATTTCAGTAAAAGATCAAAAACGAAAGAATAGGAACAGAAAGTAATTGGATTGATATTTGCAAAAAGGAACAATCAAGTTTGAGACAATTGATTAATATTTTGTAAATTAAGTATTCACTGTATAGTTCTTAGATTTTAGTGAGATGTTCTGTAATTGTGGTGTTAGAATCAATTGATGATTCCTTTATACGTGTTGAATGTTTGATTTCGAATTCTGAATACAGTACATTCGTTCGTGTTTATATAGTACTTCTTGGTCCAATTGCATTATTTCTGGGATTCTTAGTACTATAATTCAAAAACTTTTAATTATCATAGTAATGTTGTGTTTAACTACATTTGATTATCCCCAATCGTGTTTTTGTTCCCTATAATATGACTTCGAAACTATTTTAAAGAGTGTGAACAAAAGAGATTATAGGTTTTATCGTTAACCTAAATTAAATGGTTTGCAGGAGATTGTCTTTTGTTTTAGCAATGAAATTCAGTGAAGAGACTACTTAAAGTTAGTTTGTTTTAATTTACGACTCCATATAGCTGAATTCTGGATTAAATTTGCAATACACAAGTTTCACAGTGTAAACGGTGATATAGTCTAATCAGCATAGGAAAAACGTCAGACCCTTTCAACAACTTTAAACGGCCTCACAGGTGGCGGTCATTACGTATTTCAAATGCTGCGGGTTTGTTGGATGTCCGTCGGATTGCACGAATATCAGATGTTCTCATATTTAAGTGGTCTTTTGCTGCAAAATCATTGCGAGGAATAATGATTTAGTTCTATTTCTCTTGCATAAAACTTTGATTGCGGTCTATTTTGGACTTTTTAAACGGTGAATTTCACTTTCTTGAGTTTTCACTGTTACAAATAGCCACATTGGACTGACTAAACATTCACCCATATTGTAAGCATTAAATACGTCAAACTACTAATAAACTGAAATAAAAGCTACATAACAAGCTTAAACATCACGAAAATTGACGTGTGACGGAAAAAAAATGTTGTTAATAGACTATAAATAACGACATCTCGAAATTCTCGACAAAATGTAACATATGCGTGAAAACCCAGGGCTTAACGTCCTAACCGTGTGTAGTGTTTGAATGAACTAATGATTCTTTTGTAATTGTTGAATGCTTGGTTTCGAATTCTAAATACAGTACATTCGTTCGTTCTTATTTTGTACTTCTTGATCCGATTAGGTTATTTCTGGGATTCTTAGTTCATACTATAATTCAAATACTCCTAATCATCATACCGTACCATTCTAATCATATCATACATAGCCTCCTGTTATAAAACTAGTTTCCTTGAATTGTTAATTTTTTATCTTATTACTAGAAATTTGGTAAGATTTTGTATCAGTTGAAACCCATTTTTATGTTTTTACTTTCATATTATTTGTAGAAACATTGAAACAGGTGTTTATTTCCAGTTGACATAACGTTTTAAGTGGGTAAGGCCAGTGAAATATCACTGAGCTCTAATGAAATCATCTGGCAGTTGGTTCACTGAATGTCAAACAGTTTACCGATCCTCGTCAATATCAAGAAAAACTAACGCTCATCGGTTTAATTACACACCATGAACTGATCCATGCAGCAATGGTCATGAAGGTTCACTATCAAATATGAAAAAATTTCTACATAGCAGAAAGCTAAGACTTCTGACAAGGACAGTTCTGATTCACCCAGACATATGAATAGTTCGAAAATCACTCTAAATTCGTCTTTGTGTGTTAAATCCTGTTTTCCATATGGTAGGCTGCATCTTTGCAGATAGTGTCAGTTTCATTATGCACGTTTCTTTATGTGTGAAAGGATGAATATACACAAAAGTCTTTTGAAGTTTCAATTCGTTTACTACTAAAACACTGAATGATGGTGGATAAAGATCGGCTGATCCTGAGAAAAGGATCGGTTAGTGTTCTCTCACTACCGCCAGCGGCAGTACTTCACATTTCATGCGTAAATTAATTGCCAACAATGAAAATTACCACTTCTTCTTGATACTGACATTATAGAGCCAGTTATTTCTTGGAGTAATTTATTGTTTGTTTAGGTTGATGTTTACTTAAAGCTCACAAACAGTGCTCTAAATGTGGTGATATTGGACATATTCAGTCAGTTTGTTATACTAATGTTCATCTTACTGTAACTAATATTAAGTCTTGTAATTCTGATTCTACTGAGTCGAGTATTCATAATGATCATTTATCTTTATCAACGATTTTAAAAGACAGTGTAGAGTCATATAGCACTTCGGAGTTAAATGAAACTCGGAATCCTTGTGAGACAACGGTTTCTAATCAATCAATTTGTCAGAATTCTCATGTTGTTGTACCAAATATGGTTCTTCCTAATGACTCATTTATTTCTGACGACATTCCTTGCAAATCTGAGAAAAAATACGTTGAATGTACCTAGTCATGGTCGAAAACCTGACGTAGTTTTAATAGACGCTGATTTTTCTAATGATTGTTTACTCTGCAATTACATTCTTGATAAATTCGAAGAAACTATTTCAGAAGAGTCAAGCTTGATGTCGTACCAAATGTCATAATGCATTTGTTTCTTGGGGGAAACTTGTTCAATGCGAAGCACGAGTACTAAATGACCTCGAGTTTGATTACATTTCGGATGATTTCATATCAACTGCTGTTTATCCTTATCACAAATCCACCTCCAATGTATACACTAATAAATGTGAGAAATATGTTTTAAATCAAGCCACATTATTCATAACTTGGGGATATAAAGATCCAACATTATTTTGTGGTGGAGGATAGTGTTGAAAAATCTATGGTTCGAATTCTAGATATTAATGATTTCATTACAAAATCGACATGCTGGTTATATACAATTTCAGGACTCAGGTGAGTCATTTCCGATTTCGGTTGTTAGTTCTAATACTAATGAGTGTATTCTAGGTAAAACCGAGTTTTTATCCAATACAATATCGGACAGACTCAGGCTGAACTTAACAAGAAGACGTACAACTTATTACAGACAATTATATTCCAATTTAAGTTGTGGCGCATGTGATGTTTGAAATAACTAATGATTCCTTTGTACTTGTCAAACGCTTGATTTAGAATTCTAAATACAGTACATCCGTTTGCGTCTATCTAGTATTTCTTGATCCGATTACGTTATTTCTTAGTTCATACTAAAATTCATATAATTCGAAACATTATAGAAAAATTAACAGAAATACAAATAAACCCAGACTATATTATAGACAAATAGATCGAAAATCAATGTGTTTCGGGTTTGGTGAATAACTTACGAATTCTGTCCCTACAGAAGTGATTACATCCATCCCAGTGGATAGATTCATGGAGAAATTTGACAGGCGCTAACTTACTCATGAATTATCATCTATATCTCGCACTTGTTTTGCTAGGTGCACGTCTCGCAATTTACCCACTCTAATCATAATTATATATTGGTAGCTTATAAAATTCTCTCCTATTACCGGCTCCATTTCGCTTTTTCTTCTGATACTCATGTCTTCGCACACTCTGTTTATTCACGCCTTAATAAAATCGTCTTTTCTTTGCACTCGAATTTACTCTTTACCATTTACATGTTGTAGTCAAAAAACCCCCTGCCTGGTAAAATGATAACTGCTGGTATGCAGAAAACCCATTGACCTCAAACAAACCCACTCAAATTACAATATATGCACATCCATAAAAACTGCCTAACTATCTACAATCAGTGCAGTCAACTGGCTGAACAATCATCCGCTCATAATTATCAAATACGTGAGACCGTACCGAAACAACAGGAATAGAATGCAAAGAAATCAGTTCACTTGTACAAACCCGTGACAGTGATATTGGATACTGGACAAAGAAATTAAAAGTCTGCGTCTTTGGAAAGATGCGTTACTGACTACGTTAGGTGTTAAGTTTGGTTTCCACCTTCGCTTAGAAGTAAGACACTTATTTTCCATCATTTTTTCCACTAAAATTTTTCACTGTACTGGAAATGTATAAGACGTATATGAATGCCATGTGAATGCTACAAACTATGTGATCTTAAGATGATAATTACCCAGGCTCCCAACTTTGGGGAAAATTTAGTCCATTTTGGGGAAGCCTCTATAGTGAATTTTGGGGAAATGAGACAAAAAACCCAAAATTTCCCCAAACTTTGGGGAAGGCTATTTCACTTTGGGGATTTCCCCAATGCTGGCAGCTTGGGTTATCATATGCTTCAAGTCCTTAAGCTTACGTTGACTGATAATAGACACTGCCTTCATATGTGTGTTTACCCTTCGTTAATGTCAAACGCTTTTCATTTATTAGATTCTTTTCGCGATTTGTAATCTTAATTGTAATTCTAAATGTACTTGGGGGGTTGTGTCATACATTAGTGAGTATTCTGTTTTCAAGTTGTATGTTTTCTTACTAACTGACTGCATTTAGTGCGTGAAACTAGCTAGTTCGTTGTATTTAAGTATATAAGGTATCGTGTAATATACGTAGCTTGGAGGCATATTTTTACTAGACATATCGCCCAACTGAAGATTCCGAAGGACAACGGGTTAAAATTAATAAGTCGTTTCAACTCTCTTGCACAGTGATATTAATACGTCTCATGAGCTTCGAATGTTATCCACTTGTTAAAGCCTAGGCTTCTCAAGTTTTCCTATTTGAAGAACAGGCTTTGAAATATTAATATTTTGTTAGGTTCATGCGGAATAAAGCAGTATTGTCAATCTTTTTCACGACTCCAATTTGGTTTGGGTGAAATGCTTGCCATACAACGTAAATTATTTTAGATCTTTATTGCTCTGCTTTTTGATAATTGTCTCGACTCGATTGTTAGATGTTCATTTTTGATTGTGTGTTTGTTTCATAATTTATCCAAAGTTGTCTTTCATACCACGTATGCTTCTGTAATATTGCGCGTGTGGATGACAATTTAAATTTGCAGTTATTTACGCTTCTCTATCGCGTCTTTCCAATCGATTACTAATCCATCTTTAATAATCATCGTTGGTTCTGATTGACGCTTTCTTAGTCACACCCCGTAATAACCATGTATTACTTATCATACAGTAACCCCGATTTTCGATATTTATATCTTTTGCCTTCACATGGGCCTAAACTGGGTATATTTTAGTTTCGATGAACCTTTTTGGTAAATTTAATTTTTTTCAGTTCATGTTAACCTATACCACTGAAGCTTCTGGAGAACGTGAAGAAACATCTTTAAAGTGGGCCAAATTACTTTCCGTGCATGATTCATTCATGCATGAACTTTCTCAGGAAGTAATTACTATCGGATCATCTGAAGGTCCTTTTTTCTTCTTTTTAATTATTTGAAATAATTTTGTATTCGTTATTCAGAATGTTTGATTGTTATAAAACATGAAGAAGTTTCAAGTTCACATTGCCTTTTGATGAAAGATCCAGACGATGTCATGTGGTTGTACGATTGTAGCAAGACTGGGACACGTTGTAATGATGGCAAGTGGCTACAGCAAGATTGTGTCACGCTCCACACTGGTGACTATTTCTACCTTTTATGGGATGAAGTAGATGTGACTAAGCGTAGGTTTATCTATAATGCCAGAAAAGAATAATATTTATGTGCCTTTTTCTTAAGGAGTTGGATTCTGCGTTCTTTTTGTTGATGATCTTAAACTTTTGGCTTCCTCTGGTGAGTCTGGTAAGACCAAAACTACGGAACTACCGTTACAACCATCATCATCACAGTTTATGAAGCCATCAACATCAACTGATGATACTGATTTAGAAAATTGCTTAACATGTGTTATTTGTGGAGATATCTATTTTGAGTGTTGTAGGTACGTTAACTACACTTGCCCCTATGATATGTCGTTTTTTCCAACACAGTGTTCAACCGTGTTTACACAGTTTCTGCACACTCTGTTGGTTGAAATGTAAAAGATATGAATGTCCAATGGTAAGTCAGATTGTATTATTTCCATGATTAATTTCTCTTCCCATTATGTTTGCTTTAAGTGTCGTAAATCAGTGTCAGCGTATGCTAAAAATCACCAATTAAATAATTTAGTTGATGTATTCCTTCGTAAACATCCAGGTAAGAATTATTACTTTTGATGATATGTATATCTTATCATCATTATTTTATTTATAGAAAAGTTAAAATCTGAATCCGAACAAAATGACATAAAGCAAGAAATTGCCAGATTAACACGCGTAAGCGCATAATATATTATGAAACATCTAAAATTAAATTTTATTAGCTTCCAAATCACACTCGTCGATACAATAGTCGAACTAGAAGGTATGTGTATGTATGAAAGAGTGAGAGAATAAATTTTTTGTTTATGTTTTTCTACATATCACCATATTTTAATTCGTTTTGTTTATTGAAACTAAATATACATCTAAAGTTGTTTGGAGTGTAATAACGTTTACGATACATTTCTCTTTAAATGTCAGATATAGATTGGAAACTGCTCATAGTCATTACCCTGACTAATCAAACGTCACAAAGTAGTTGAGTGCATTGACTTTGCTCAACTATGAACTCATCAACTCTGATTGTTTGGTTTGCTGACGATACTTCGGTGGGGATTCGAAACACTACTTTATCGTCCACCAGTTCTCACCACCTATGATGTAGACAAAATCACCATCGGTGAGGATACTGTGCAGTTGTCCAGTTTATGTAGCTATTCCGTCTAGTAGGGCTCAAGCTTTGAGTACATAAGTAGGCTACTGGTATTTTACCATATGGTCCCTTCGAAATACTAGCGTCATATGATAAAACAACAAAGCGAGATACAGTCTGGTGAGTTAGCTGGTGGGACTATGTGTTTTCGTCTAGTGAAATTAATAAGACATTTTCTACATATCCCCGAATACTACATATATCGACCGTGACTTGCTCAGGAGTAGGTTAAAGGAAAAGTAGAGGTGAGCAAGCAAAAACACTGCATCACTCCAGAAAGTTACTTAATGTTGAACTGAGCTATGTTTGTAGGTACAAACTAGTACAATCAAGTTATAGTTCGCATGTTTATATTAATTAATGGTTAGACAGTTTTAGTGATAGGACTTTCAAGTTGGTCACATTTGTACAAAGCCGTTTATTTCTTATCTTCTGGTTGTTTATTTTCAGTGTTATTTCATACGTTTTGTTTCTTGATTTCATTTTCTCTTTTTGAACCATAAGCTTTATACTTAATCTTTTTCATACCATTATTTCGACTTATTTGCTTTCACCCCGTTAATTTCATCCTATTATGCTAATATAGTGTAATAATTTGGGCTAATGCTTATTTATGCCAGGTCTTACATCGATCATGACCGATTTCGGTCACTGATGACAATAAATTCCATTTATTAGTTGAATTTCTCACCTCTTCGTTTATTTTTCTATATATATCTATTTCGTTTAGGAATAGAGAGAGAATTACTCTTACTGGTGGTGACTATGGTTTACTGAGCAGTTCTTCTGGCGTCTTTCCTGTTGTTCCGACCATCACTACCACCGCAACAACTCGCAGTGTTTCTACTGGTCCGATAATTATGCCCACTTCTTCACCAATGAGTGCTGGTTGTGTTATATGCTCATGGTTACCACCATCATATGACCTTCGTGGCAATAGTATGACAAGTATTAGTGGCATTACTCTTGGCAACCGTGGTCCAAGGATTGAAGAATGTAAGTTTATTCCGGTATAAATACATAATATATATGTTTATGGTCGTTAGATAACAACCTTTTTTGAATTCATAGTATTACAAATCAACAGTTCCCTCATTAAACTAAGAAATTCAAGCTTATCTACAAACGTATTCGCATGGTATTACGATACATACTTCATTCTGTAATGTGTAATATTTTTCAGCTCGTTAAATGATGTTAAGATGCATGTTAGTGGTTGTCATTTCACAGGTTTTCCACACTGTAGTACCTGAAAAGAATACTGAGTTAGTAGTGACTTTGTTCACCTAGAAGTAGGGTCTCAGAGCCAAAGGGCAGCTAGTTGAGGTTGGTCACACATGACCTTTCTGAATAGTTCTTATTGTGTTAGCCCCATACTTTTGAGGCGTTACTACCGGTATCGGAAGTCAAAGTAAGGTGTATTGTTTTTAGAACCTACCTTTTCTAAACCCCTCCTCTGTGGGAAAGTAGCATAGTTAAAGATAATAATTATCTGCGGGGAAAACATTAGTACCATTCAACCTCAGTACACTTGATGTTACGACTTTTCTCTTAGATCTTAAATTTACCACTTTTAATCCTACCCCTCTCAGGTTGACTTACCTGAGGAGGGGAAACCTTATGGAACAAGTGTTCAAACCATTATAACGTGGTTAGATTGTCACAATAATCTGTTTAATTATGATTACTATTATATATGAGAGTGGATACTGAGAACTGAGAACAATTGATTTCTAGTTAATAATTTGAAAATTCTTGATAATTTAGGGTAAAGTGCCAATCCAAAATTAATATTTGCACTAACTGACCACTAGACATTACCCTATGTTATACTTGTGTTGTCCTTTGTTCTAATTAAACACTATTGGTCAATAAGTTGAAATGTGACTACTTCTCTAAATGAATCGACATTATGCGCACTAGTGTTTTAGCTTGATATGGTGTTTGGTCATCAGCAACGAGCCTTATCTGTATATTCTTAGTAGTCGATACTTCGGTGAATTTCTTTAGTGAGCCATTGGAAAACAGTGGTTATGGTCCATAAAATAAATGACAATAGAATGGGTAAAACCGCAGTTTCATATGGTATAGCTCTATCTCCTGTTTTCTATTCACTTGTGCTTTGATACTTGATTTCGTAATCGAATATATTTAGTCATCCATTCTAGTCTAGTAATCGTGCGACTAGTCTTCTTTACTATATTTTATTACCCGTTTCTTCTGCTGTAGAATACCATAAATTCTCCAAATACTGAAAGACTACATTAGCGCCAGATTTTTGGTAGCCGCCCAACAAATATTAGAATGCAATAGAAAGTCGTCATAAATTATCCAAATGTTGTGTGAATACTCATTTGTTCATATGTAGATTATGTTGAGAACACAAATTAATCATTTCTAAATCGTTTTTTATTTGCCCCAAGTTAACTCACAATCAAAATATGTTACTGATGATATACTGACCAATATGCGCTTATAGCGTACAGGTGCTAAAACAGATTAAGACGACTGTAATACGGCATCCATATTGTTGTCCCATAACATCATTTCGTTGATTCTCCAGTGATTCTTATCATAAAGACTGTAGTGGAGATTGGGGCTATTTGGTACTTTTCACTTGACTATTTATGACTTTATAAGGAATTTGTGGAGAAAATGATCGAATTATGATAGAAAAGCAGCCTTACAGAAATGCAGTTTTTGGTTTTATGTTTGCAAATCTCATAAATTACTCAAAGACTCTGTAGGAATAAATTTGTGTTTCATTAGCCTCTCTTATTTATTTATTCATTTAAACACATAAACGTTAGTACAAGGAGGCACCATATAGATATGCGCCACATAAATTATTCGGTTTATGAGAGGGCTGGGATAATACCCGGGTGCCCAAACCGAAGCAGGTGGCTTTCTTAGGGGACCACACCTGAAGCCTTCGACCTAAAGGTCTAATCCACAGAGCAGTGAAGTGACTTCAGGAGATGCCGTCCAATGGTAGCTGGTCATCAACAATTGGTTCATACTCCATTTGTTCCTTTAGGATCCTGGAACCTGTGTATACCATTGGTTTGGAATCAGGGTTTTCCAACTGCCTTAGGTGGACTCTCCGTGTCTACCATTTCGGTTAAAGCACCGGACATTCGGTTTTCGTCCTCTCAAGTTCGTAAACAACACCCCTTTCGCGAGAATGTAGTGAATAGGACTTCCCTGTCAGTGGTTGTATGCACGTGGCCATGTGAAAGCATTTGGAGAGGGAGAGCTGACTCTCCCCACTCTCGGCCGTACCAGGGCATTAGCTTCTCTAACAAAATATATTCAATTGAGATAATTTGTGATCCTCATTGTATGGTTGGCAACGTAAAGATTTCATAATCATTTCTGGTTCTGTGCTTCAAAGTTGGTAATATGCAGTACAGAGATCAGTTAATCAAAATTGAGTAAAATGGCTCTTGTATTCTGTGTCAAATTCAAAACAATCAATGATTTATCTTAAAACGTGAAACAACCAGAAGAAATACTTTTGTACAATAATATGAACGTTTAAAATTATGATGGAACTCAATGTTTTCTCGTTTGCATAGTAAAAATATTAACATTAAACTTATCAAATACTCAATTCTTTCTATGTAGATTGTATATATAACATGCAAATCAACCCTAAATCTAAATTTATAATCCTAATTATAACCAGGAAATTTGGGAACTCCTAAAAGACTATTTTCATCCTTATATAGGTCCGAGTAGATGAATATTCTATAGCCATATGGATGCATTTGTCACTGTTTTTCGGCCAACAGACATAAAAATCTGTAGAAGACTTCAATAGATTCATGAATTATGTTAAAATCTTTGTGGTATTATTGTTTCTCCTCATAAAATATTCATTTACAATAACTTTATTGGTAAGTGTTTAAATTATCTTGTTGTTAATATTGAAAACTGAATTTCGATCAGTCCTGGCTAAAATAGGTGCTTCCAATGATAATTATCATGGTTTAGCCATTCTTATCAAGTTATGTAAAACAGATGAATTGTGACTACCAGATGAATCCTGAAACTCTCATTTTCTTCTCATCGGAATTTGTCAGTTAGGACATATCTCCATCAAAAATCTCATGTTCACACTTCAACTCGAACCCAGTCTCGATCACTTCGAACCTCGCTGCATTGTCCGCTAATATCCTGAATCCAGATACCTACTAACGTGTTCGGTGGGTATGATGTTTATTCCAATTTTGGTTACAATTCACTTGTTATAAGTAATTTGTGAAAATGTATCCAGGCAATACGCATAAGCTGCACATGTACTAATAAAGACTGGTCAAAAGATAGTCAAGAATATCAAAAAACCGGGTAAATTAAACCCTTATTCATAAAGATATAAATACCATATCCGTTGGACAACTTACTGGCTACATCAATCTAGTAGGCAATGCGTTCGTGTTTAAAACGAAAGTTGCGGTTGTAGTGTCGGTTACTCTGTTAAGCCCATATAACTTATTCTACCTTCTGGACAGGCCAATTTATCCATTCTTCATGAGTCACGTTTTGACCTTATTAATTATTCACTTATCAACCCTGACTTTTTATATGAGCGTATGTGTGTGTACATTTTATCCTACTCATCACATGTCTGTAGCTTATTTCTGGGTGGCTATGAATATAGATTAACGCTTGATTAAATCGAATTGGCTCACATGCCTTATCCACCGCACATCATTTCGTTTCGCTTCGTTCCTTTTATCGTCTGCCTGAAACAATGATTGTACAAAACCTACGTATTCAAACATCCATCTCGCACTAGACTTATTTTAATTCCGTTATTCGCTAACGCGAGTTAAGTTGATAATTAGATACGAGGATCGGCGACATATAAATTTCGACATGTATATCTCAATAACAATCAATCATACAGTCCAACTGGAGTCAGGTCCCGGGCCACAAAAGTGGTGAGCCCGTTGACAACATCATCCGATCTAACAGACGTCAAAATGAAGGACCCATTAAAGTGGTGAGCCCGATATGATAATCGATTTCAGAGTGAATGAGAGCGTTTATCATCATTCTGGATAACGCATCTGCCACTTCGTTTTTATTGTCTTTACTATACTGTATGTTAGATGTGAATTGGGAAATAAATTCTAATTGTCGAATTTTACTCGGCGAACAGTTATCCTGCTTGATGTTTAGTGCTTTCGTGAGGGGTTTATGATCTGTATACACCGTGAAAATGGTACCCTCTATCATATGTCGGAAATGCTTTATTGCCAATTAAATCGCCAACAGTTCTCTTCCAAGCGTACTATACCTCGTTTGAGTAAGATTGAATCTCTTCGAGAAGAATGTAAGTGGTTCCCATGTGCCATTTACTAACTGCTGCAGTACAGCCCCCACTGCTAAGTTCGATGAGTCCATCAGCTTAGCCTTCAGACAAACGAAGAGTGAGGAAGTAGCATGACCAGACAACATACCGACTGAAACACTGAAGCCAGACAAAGAAGTGACTGCAAAAATGCTCCACACACTCTTCAGTAAGATTCGGAAAGAAGAACAAGTACCAACAGACTTCACAGATAAACACCTCGTCAAGATACCAGAGAAAGATCTCAAAAAGTGTATGAATTTGTAGTGGGCCCGTTCAACTATTTTATTATTTGTCTACTTGCTATAATTTGGAAATTTGATCCACTATGTTAAATTATGTATTAGTTTGATTGAGTGCTTGACTGCATATCAATCTTTATCTATCATCCCATTGGTTGTGAACACAGACGACCATTAATTTATCTACCATCGATCAACACTCATAAATATATATGGATTTTTAACACATACACTCACTGGCTTCTCTGTGTGCTTGCTTTCTCCACGCTTGCGGATTCTTACTCATCGTTAACAATAAACTATATAACTGGTGTTCGGGCATTTGAATAATCTCCAGTAAATTGATAATACTATTAGGAGATTTAGCCTACGTAAATACTCAGTTAACGGGATACTATTTATTTGTTAAATCCCGATGAGAATAATGATTGGTAACTGTTGGAATCTATTTCTGGACTAATACTATACGTATACTTTTATTGTATAATTGTTAATTAACTAAACTGTTCGTATTCGTGTCTCTCTTATTATGAGCCTTATTTTGACCTATGAACTATTATTATAGGATTTACCACTCTTGAGTTATGCTCTGTCTATCAATTACTATCTCCCTTATTCACAGCCACATTTGACTTAATCTTGTACAAATGTTGTTTCATATTTTATGGTACGATGTGATCTGTCTGTTTTGTATATAAACACAGTATGTTTGAAATAAATGATTCATATCGTAGAGTCGGAGATTGGTGTTCTGTACTTAACAGGCTGGGTAAGCAGGGAAGCAGGATCTCTACGAACTCTAGACTGCTCGTACAGGTTTTATGCGTCATTGGTCTGGTCGATAATTCACTGCTCTGTAATTGGCGGTATCATCGCATTATACATTGGTAGAGGCACAAACCCACAAGTTATAACAGTTGGCGATGGGGTGAAGAACAAAGAACCAATCGCACAAAACTACAAGATATAACATTATTGAAGTCAGATATAGGGGAAATTAGCCTTTACAAACTACAGAGTCATCACACTAATATATCAGTACCGGAAGACGTTTTCAACAGTATTGTTGAGCGGAATAAAAGATTCAGTAGACGCTCAAATTCGAGATCAACAGACTAAATTCCGTAAGGATCGGTCATATGCAAACCATTGTTGAGCAATCACGTGAATAGAATTCGTTACTATTCGTCAACGTCCTTGACTATGAGAAGCATTTGACAGTGTGAATAGGAGAACCTTATGGAAACTTCTTCGACACTACGATGTACTTGAAAAGATCATCATCATCTTATGGAATTCTCATGACAAAATACAATGCAACGTCGTGCACGGAGGTCAAGTGAAGGATGCACTGGTGTCAGACAAGGCTGCTTATTTTCACCCTTTCTCTTCCCTCTGGTGGTCGACTGGATTCTGAAGACTGGTACATCTGAGGAGAAGCATGGAATATAATTGGCAACTTGAATGCAGCTGAACTTCACAGATAATCTTGTTCTTCTATCCCATATGCAACAATACACCTGAACGTACACAAGGGGGAAATAGGAATATTAGGAATGAACACTGGAGGCGGATCGGGCATACATTTTGGAAATCATCAAACTGCCTCACGAGACAAACCCTAACTTAGAATTCTAATGACAAAAAAGGTTGTAGACCAAAGCATATATTGCACCAAGAATTGAAGGGAGATATCAAAAGAATGAATAGAACGTGAAAAATCCACAAAGGGGACGCAGGACAAAGTTGTTTGAAGAACCCTTAATGGCTCCTTATGTTCCCACGAGAATTAACAGGTGTAACCGAGTAAATAATATATAAGCATATTATTTCACCGCAGAAAAAGTCTGTGGTGCTGATTTTCAGTTGTGTCGTCTCTCAATAGCAGTTCTTTCAGAGTATATGTCTGTAATTCAGTTTTTGAAAGTGATTGTTAGTTAACCACATTGTATCACTGCGTAATATGTATTGACCAGCATTCTGTTCATCACCATATCTAATTCAAAAACTTTTTCCGCCATAATACCATCATTTTTATGTATATGATATGTTTAGCTTTATTACTCGATGTTATGAGATCTGTGCTCATATTTCTGTTCCTTTGAAATGTCATCAGTCAATACAATAGGCTTATTACATTTATTTGATTATCGTCTATCAGTAGCACATCCTTGAGTATATAACTACAATGATCCTGATTACTCTGTTATTAATAATAATTAACATTTCAGGTTAATCAACAAGAGATACAGTTTTCTTTATTTCGAATTTTGTTTTCCCATCAATTATTCAATGTTGTCACTTCTCATCACGAATTTAGTTCGGTCAAGAATTGACCATTCAATTCATTCTTTTTTCTATAATTCAATTTAATATTTTTCTTTAGGTTCAGCGCATTGTTATTGTACATGTTGTAATAGACCAATGCCTAGTCGAACAACAACAATTTCACAACTACATAGCATAAATCGAACAGAATGTGAAGTGTGCCGGCGTACATTTTGTTCTTTAATCAATCCATATGGATGTTCAACATGTGATGGTTATTGTTTATCTCGTGTACAAGGTGAGTAATCACGTGTCCACTAGTGAATGTTGTACTAAGTTGGCACACATAGTTATCAGTGTAGAAAGGGTTAATTAGTAATAATATTGATCTTAGTAACCAATAGAAGCAGAGAATTATATGTAAAGATTCTGTTTTATCATTGTTTACATTACGGATCAGTTTCTATTGGTATATATGTCTCCTAACCGAACTAAACCAACTTGGACTTTTAATAAATTTAGGTCGTAGCTTGTGGTAGAATCCAAGACTTATATTTTGTCATTTTGGGGACTTGCTAGTCACTAATTAAAAGCTATATTGGAGCAGTCCTCTCAAGATAGACATATGTTACTAGAGACCGGTGATTATTAACAAACTGGAAAGATGACATTTCTACATGTAATTTAACAACCGTTGAACGAGTTAGTGGTCATCTGAAAAAAGTAGTTCATTGAAGTGATGGGTATTGGGTTCAAGTCTAAGTGTGAACATGAGCTCTAGGATCCAGGTACATCTAAATGGCAAGTTCTAAACAGAACAAAACTCAAATTCACTTGGTGTTGTTTTACTTGTATCTTCCCATTGTTATTTAGAACTGCAATTGATCAGTCTCATGTTGGCATATGTGCATCCTGTGCGGATTGCCTCGATATAGCCTTAAGTCACAAGCTTTTTAAGCAAAGATGGATAGTGGCTAGCAGTGGAATCCAATATTCAGGTTCCCGGAGTGAACATCAACTCTGCGATGCAGGTACATCCGGCTGACGAGTCTCAAATGGGACGAAACGCGCGTCCTGGATTCCACTGTAAGCTACAATTAAAATGAAGAATATAGTTTGAGAATAAATAATAAGATGGAAGTTTTAAAGTAAGTGAAGATCGAATTTATCTGTCAGTGCTACAAATTTAGGTTCATTACACTTAGAATTTCAAATCATAGCTGACGACCATTGCACGAAACTCAATCAGGACGTTTGTCCCTCTCGAAACTGCTTGGATCACTAATCAAGAAATGTATGAACTGCTGTTGTTATGGCGTAACTTAACCTCTCTTAATCTTCATCTAATCTGCTTCTAAACTGTTGTAATGGCTCCCGGAAAGCCCAGAGAAGCCTCTGGAGAGTCTAAAGGAGCCTAAGAGGTTCCACCCAATCAGAACCGAACTTTCTAGAATATCGACATAGTATGTTATGATTGAACAATCGTATAATTTCGTGCTTCCGGATTGACTGGATTATAATGTTATAGTCTATACTAAAAACTACGAATACTCCTATTTTTCTGTACACTTTTTGATACTCAATAACCGCTTCTACGTTCTTCCGTCTTTTGATTCGCGACTGTGGGCTTTTTCGTGTTAGAGTGCCGATAGCCGTTTATCGTATTAGCTGTATTCAAGTAGAGGACATAACATAAACTAGCTTTTGTTGTACGTTCGAGTATGTGTTGGTGGTTTAGCCCCCAAATGCTCTGATAAGGCCGAGAGTGGGGAGACTCAGCTCTCCCTCTCCAAATGCTCTCACATGGCCACGCGTATACAGCCACTGCCAGGAAAGTCCCACTCACTGCCTTCTCGCGAAAGGGGTGTTGTTTATGAAAATGAGAGGACGAAAACCGAATCTCTGACTTTTTAACGGGTTTGGTGGACACGGAGAGTCGATCCAAGGTAGTTGGAAAACCCTGATTCCAAACCAATGATATACATGGGTTCCAGAATCCTAAAGGAACAAATGGCGTATGAACCAATTGTTGGTGACCAGCTACCATGGGACTGCATCTCCTCACTTTACTCCACCACCTTGTTGACTAGACCTTTAGGTCGAAGGCTCCAGGTGTGGTCCCCTAAGAAAACCACCTGCTTCAGTCTGGGCACACAGGCACTATCACAGCCCACATACAAATCAAGTGACTTGTGTGGCGCATATGGACAAAATTTCACCAGTTAAACTCTTTTTCTTGATATTTCATTTATTTGATAATATCTCTAAATGAGTTCCTTGTCTCGAATATTTCAGATTTGACTAGATACAATTCAATACCTCGTAATTTATTATTGAATAATCGTATAGAAACAAGGATTCTTGATGTAAGTTATGTATCTTGAGAGAAAGAATTTTACATTGTTTTTCTTCCCAAGATTTTTTATTTTTATTTTAGGTACAACCATATATATATATATATATATATATATATATATATATATATATATATATATAATATTCTGTTATCTGATTCAATCACTAATGCATCCTCTTAACTCTTGATCAACCGTAATATAGATCGGGTGAAGACGAAGACTGTGTACGCAACTGTATTGTCGAATGATACTTACCGTTCATCAGTCAGTCAGCAACAATGTAGAACTTCGTACGTACGTACGTCAGTTCGAGTCGCCATACCACATTAGCACAGCGAAGCAATTGTCGATGCAAATCCCATAGTGGTAGAGGTAATAAAATTATTAGCAGTAATTACGGTTTGAAGATGTTATTCAAGGAGTATAATCCAGTGAAATAAATTTCGAAAGAGAAAAGAAGGGAGATGAATAAATCGGAAGATTAGAATTTGGAAGAATACACAGAGTGGATGCACCTGCGCCATTACAAACGATTTTGAGCCATGTCATTCAAGGTCTCTAACAATCGGTTGCTATCGTCTCGCGGATCCCAACCGGGTAGTCTACACCTACCAACATGGCTTAGTCCAGTTGTCAATGACTTCATGGATTTGTGCCATGTTTTGGTCTGGCCGCCCCTACCTTTCTTCCATCCTACTCCTACACCACAAAACATCGCACGTCGAGGCAGTCGGTGGTTGGGCATACGTAACACGTGTCCCAGCCATCTCGACTGATAAAGTTTCAGTACTTCATCGATTGATTTGCCATCCTTACCTAGTACCCGTTTCCTAACAACTGAATTACTTAATCGATGGTCCGAGGATATACGAGCAATGCTTCTAAGACACTTATGATCGAATAATAGTAACCTACGAATATCCTCTAGTCTTACCGGGCATGTTTCACAGCCATGAAGTAGGGCGGAACGAACTGCTGCACAGCAAACTCGTCCTTCGGTTGGTAGATGGATATCTCTCCTACGCCATAAATGACGCAAGTTGGCAAAAGCTAGTCGAGCTTTCTTTATCCGTGCTGAGATTTCTTCACACGTTTATTAATGGCTAGAATGGCCCAAATAACTACATCAATAATCCATTTTACTTAAAATAACCTACTTTTACATGTTCCTTACCTACCTTGAGTTATCGTGTAATTTGTCTTATTTGGCTCCGAGTATCATATATAAGTAGCTATTTGGTTAAATAGCATGTAACCACTGTTACTACAGTGCATTTAATTCCATTTGCCAACTATTTCCTGCACAGTTCTAGGAACATAAAATTAACTACTTAATTGTTACAAGTAAAATTGTGGTATGCGCTACTTATTCATATAATTAGTATATAACGATAGTCAGGAATAGAATGTATTTCAGTAGAAGATCAAGAAGGAAAGAATGGGAACAGAAAGAAATCGGTATGAAAATGCAAGAACAATAAAATCTGAGACGGTTGACTGATATTTCCAAAAGGAACAGTCACGTTTGAGACAATTGATTGGTATTTGGCAAATTAAGTATTTACCTTATAGTTGTCAGATCTTAGTGAGATATTCTGTAATTTTGTGTTCAAATACATTTGATTGTACTCACTCATGTTCTTGTTCACTATAGAGTCTCAATGTTATTTATTCATATGAAGGGAAATTATTTGTTAAATTTAATACTATTTCTGGATCAGTTCTTTGAATGATAAACGTTGATTTCTGCTTTGTCAAGCATTTTGACACTTTCTCATATCAAGCACTATATCTAGTCTTTATGAAGTTTTTCATTCAAGAATTATTTCTTCATGTAGTGATTTTTTGATGACTTAGAATTGTAATTCTCCAATTGCCTATAGTATGTAACCACTTTTTAAGAAGGAAAAATCATGTTAATTATATCTGTTGGTTATAAATAATTATCAGTATAGGGTTGTGGAGATTGTTGAGTTTCTTTGAGATCATAGACCGGTTTTTTTTGGACCTTTGGAAACTTGAAAGCACCGGATATCCTTTTCGTTGTAGCACGGAACTCTTCAACAATGTGAATTCCTGATCACACACGTAGAACTCTGACCCAAAACCCTCGATTTCGCGCGCGAACGCTTAACAGTTAGTTTTACAATATTGTAAATACATGTTCATACAATAAATTATTGATTAATCAATGTCAAGTACTACTCAGTTTGATGTATACAAATCTGACTGTTAATCAGTACAAACTATATGAAACTTCATATTCATTTTGGTTGTCAAGTAAACCCTCATCTATCGTCCTTATGTTCTTATTTGCGACGTACGTTTCACGGGTTTAATTATTCACTAACAGTTACCTGCCGTTACAACAATTGTCGATGGGTATTTTGGTAAATAAAATAAATCTTCCTCTACAGTCAGTTTTCGTGTTCTTATTTGCATCTTGGAAATTGCAGAGGTTTTCAGTATCAAGCATCACACTACATCTCACGGTTATAATACCCTAATTTAAATATTATCGGCTGTTTGAATCTGATTATCTCTGTTTGTCCAACATCGTTTGTTTGAATTACAAACAACAGAAGAATTTTTCGACTGATATTGTTTACTTAAACCATCTATTCCAATATGATCTTCACTTCAATGAATCGATTCGATTATGTTCATTTGACATTATGTAGTGTTACCATGCTTTGTTTAAAGGTATGATATATCCATTTAAATTATTTTAATATCAGATGGGTTTTGTGGAGATTGTAGTAATTTCCATGGTTAAGATCATGAGTCAGTTGAAGCTAGACCATCATGGAAAACCTGGAAACACTGGAGTCCCACAATAGGACGAAACGGCCGTCTAGTGCTTACAGGTTTTCCATGGTGGTCTAGCTTCAACTGACTCATGATCTTAACCATTAAAATTATTTTACTTCAACAATCTGATGCATGTCAATCAGTGTGAACGACTTCAATTATTCAATTGACTTTTCATATACTGATTCGTTCGGTATCAGAATATGAACATGATAATAAACAAAACTATAAAACAAACTCAAGTAATTCTGACGAATGTCTGGCTACATTGGAAAATATCATTTTTGACATAATATCTGAAAATGTACTGGATTTGATATAATTTAGAATAATTGGCGTTTACTAACAGATAAAACAGCCCCCTAACTGTAATCAGTTTTCAACGGAAATTACCTTAATAGTGTACAAGCTTCATGAAATCACCCAACTTAGTAGTAACCTTCCGGAGCTGGTCTTCACCACAGATTGACCTCATTTTGGATACCATGAATCGATTGTAGTTAGATCTGTATACCGTCGGATGTCAACTCAACCGTCTAGAGGATCCAACCCCTAATGGGGTCTCATAATGTAAATAAACAGCTGTCTAACGCTTTCTGATTTTCAGTAATATCCAATCTGAGGTCAATCTTTGGTTAATATCACCTCCGAACACAATGGGTTCACCTAGAGGAGTTGGGAAATCCTGATTCCAAATCAATGGTCCACATAAGCTCCAGAATCCTGAAGGAACAAATGGCGTATGAACTAATTGTTGGTCACCGGCTACCATAGAGCCGTATCTCCTTACGCTGCTCCACTGCCTTGTAGATCAGGTCGAAGGCTCCGTGTGTGGCTCCCTTGGGAAAACCACCTGCTTCGGTCTGGGCATCCGGGCAGTACCATAGCCCACACACAAACCAAGTAACTTGTGTGTGCATCTTTTTACCAGTATTGATAGAAATAACCTCCAGATAAAACGTATATCAAAGAAACTATTGATTTATAAATTTATTGTTTCTATTTCTTCTCTTAGGATTATCTTACTTCTCAGGGTATTTCAATTCCAACATTTATCAATCATTGTTTAACATTTTATATTAATACAACATCAATTTATTCATCATGTATATTAGATAGAAATTCATTAATTTGTAAAAATTGTAGTGAACGTTTACTTAGTCAATTAGCTTATCAATATCGTTTATCTATATGTCCAAATGAATTACCAACTGATGTAATTATTAAACCAAATTGTTATTATGGACAATATTGTCGTTATCAAAGTTATAATTATAATCATGCTAGACGTTTTAATCATATTTGTGAAAGATCAATTTAATTATATTTTATTTTATTTTCATTTTATTTAATGATATTCTTTCATATCCCCTTCTTTTAAAAGAAGGGAGATGAATACTACTTTTTTGCCAATAAGTAGTCATTAGTAGTATATACAGCTTCTTTTTGTTGTTGTTGTTGTTATTATTATTGATTTATTAATCTATATGACAATCTCTAATATATTTTATTGAAGATTTCTGCATTTACCTTATAGAAATTGTTCTATTTTGTTGTGTTTAAAAGTGATAGAGACTAATTATACAATTACCTTTTTTGTTTTTTTTCTCTTTTGCTTATTTTTCTTTCCCCTTGAGAAAAAATTTTTTTTTTCAAATCAGAATTGTTAAAATTTCTATTAAATAAATTGAATATTCATCATAATAGTTGAGATCATAAGTTAATTAAAGCTACACTACCATGGAGAACCTAGAAGCACTGGATGACCGTTTCGTCCTACTGTGGAACTCCTCAGCATTCATTGATTTAGTGTGTATGTATGTATTTTTGTTTGGATATGTCTGTTCACTTTGGAAAACAATGAACCAATGGATACATGTAGTTACTGTTAACTAAGTTTCTCGGTAAGATTATAATTTATGGATGACCTTTGGACGACGCTAAAGTGACCTTGAGAGTGTTTACCTATAATAACTAGCACGAAATAAGGGTTATAAACCTGTGTGAAGGATTAGAATTACGGTTTACAGATGATAGTTAGGGGTTAGGAATTAGATTTCGGGTTTTCATCACGGACTGACATCAGCTATAATGCCAAAACTTAATTACTTTGTTAATCCTCGTCAAGGACATTGGCCGACCACCAGCACTCTCCGTCCAACCCTGTCCTGGGCAATCCTTTTCAGCTCTTCCCAGTTATTATCCATCTTTTTCATATTTGATTCTATTTTTCGACGTAATGTGTTGTCTGGCCTCCCTCTTTTCCTCTTCCCTTCAGCATTACAGGTTAGGACTTGTCTCGTGATGCAGTTTGATGATTTCCCTAATGTATGTCCCATCCATTTCCATCGTGTTTTCCTAATTTCCTCTTCAGCAGGAGTTGGTTTGTTCTCTCCCACAGTAGGCTGTTGCTAATGGTTTACGACCAACAGACATTGAGTATCTTGCGTAGACAACTGTTTATAAGTGCTTGTAGCTTTTTGATGATGGTTGTAGTAGTTCTCCAAGTTTCAGCTCCGTATAGTAGCACTATCTTGACGTTCGTATTGAAAATTGTGACTTTCATATTGGTTGAAAGTTGTTTTGAGTTCCATATGTTCTTCAACTGTAGGAATGCGGCTCTCGCTTTGCCAATCCTCGCCTTTACGTTTGCATCTGATCCTCCTTGCTCATCGGTGATGCTGCCCAGGTATGTGAAGGATTCTACATCTTCCAGAGTTTCGCCATTAAGTGTGATTGGATTGCTGTCCTCCGTGTTGCGTTTAAGGACCTTGGTTCTCCCTTGTGTATGTCGAGGCCTACTCATGCAGAGGCTGCTGCTACGCTTGCTGTCTTTATCTGCATTTGTTCGTGTGTATGCGATGGGTAAGTAGGTCATCTGCGAAGTCCAAGTCGTCTAACTGGTTCTGAGCTGTCCATTGTATGCCGTGTTTTCACTTAGATATCGACGTCTTCATGATCCAGTTGACCACCGGAAGAAAGAGAGAGAGTGGACAGTCTTATCTGACTGATCCTTACTCGGGATGCATCTGTCAGCTTTCCTCCATGCACGACTTTGCACTGTAGTTTGTCGTATGAGTTCCGGATAATGTTGACAATGTAGTGTCGAAGAAGTTTCCATAACGTCCTCCTATCTACACTGTAAAATGCCTTTTCATAATCAACGAAGTTGATGTACAGTGACGATTTCCACTCAATTGGTTGTTCGGCGATAATCCATAGTGTCGCAATTTGGTCTGTTTGTTTATGAACGGTGAATTCTATATGACAACATGGAAAACTGTACAATTTAGTGTATACCTAATTGGTAAATGCATTCGCAAATGAAATAGGATATACCTGAACGACGCCTCACTCAGTAGTTGCAGTCACTGTTATGATAATTTTGTAGTGTCAGATAGGAATAGTAAACGATTAAACATTAGGAATGGGTATCCAAAAGGGCAGACATATCAAAAATTAAATGGCTGTGTTGTGATCAATTAACTATTCAAAGCAGTAGACTTTCTTAACTCCATCGGGAATAGTTCTAGTCAACAATCATCTACTACGGCCGCTATCACAGCTCAAGATCCAAAATAAAACATGGGTGAGACTGATAAACCTAACTGAACGCTAGATTCGGTTTCCTAAGCCCTTCTAGTAACACCTAGGCTAAATCTACACAGCAACTTAGACACTTCGGAACTTATAAGCACTCTGATAATAATATCTGCAAATCAGTCGAAATATAAAGTGTGGTTAAATTTGGCGAACATGGAAACTTGGAATCGAAATAGTATGGCTCGATCATACAGGCGTGATCACTATGTAACGTAATCCTTCAAATTAAATAAATCATTCTATCACCAGCCCAAATGTGTCCTTCAGATGTGTAAATTATCATCTACTATAATTCAGCGATAATATTCTCGAGTTGTTTTTTAGCCCTGTTAATCACAAAAATCCTGGTCATTGTACTGTGCCTAAGAAATTTGCGTCTGTTTCGAAGGGAGGAGGTGCAGAAATGTTGTGTACTTCATGGTGAGTTTGTGAGTAATCTTTGAACAGTTTTGGGGTGATTGTGATAAGTTGTTTTAATAAAGCTAAGAGTTGCATCCAAGCTGTCTGCAAGTAGTAGTTATAAACCATAGTTTGAATTTTTATACCGCACTCAATTTGTTCGTGTTTCATGTGTCTGAATGCTTGTGGTGTGGCATTTTGACAGGTCACTTTTCAACCCACTGTTCAGTGTTCATTTCCTTATTGTCACAAATTCCTTCTGAAGCTCATGTGGATAAATTTATCTCTTTATGTACCCTCAGATCTTTGCAACATCTGCATTCATTAGTGACTCTGAGTCAGTTATTATGACCAGGAAGAGTAGCAGAACTAAGAGGACCTCAGGAGATCGTCCAGCTCTCTCACGTTATAGAGATCTGGTGCATATTAACCGCCTCTCCCAAACACAAATTTTGCTTGATGGATGACGTTTTTGTTCATGTACTGCGTCGTTTGTCCACTGACCGCTTCTTCCCTTATCTGTGACAGTATTGGCAGTGATGCTTACAATCTGTACCAAGCAGGATCTACTATATCTCCTCCGTTACAGATTGGAGAGAAAGTAAGCAGTCTCCGTCCTTTTGGAAGTATATATGGCTCTAGGAAGTGCTTGAAAAGATCACACACTAATGAGGCGATTTTTCCCGCACACTGTTTCAGAATTAGAGGGTGGATACTATCACATCTTGGTGACCTCACTTGGACAAGGAATCTTAGTTTCCTAGTACTAGCCCAGAAATTAGCTGGATACTAACCAGGCGATCAGTTAGCACCAGGGTTAAGGAATGTTGTGTGCTTGAAGCTTTCTTGCAAACCAGTCGACAAAGTTGGTATTGAGGATTCCTCCCATCCTAATTTGATAGAATATCCACCATTTTGCCCTTCAAGAGCACAGATCTCCTGGTCTGCAGGTTTGTGGAATTATAGTCTACTTAGGTTTTTGCACATTTATGTTTGTTACTATTACGATAGACGTTATCCCAAAATTGTGAACTTCCCATAACGTGACTACCTAATCCATAAGACCTTACGTGGAGGCCACGTCACTGTCTATTCTGACTCGTTGGATCGTGCAATCAGCAATACAGTGTTTAGCACTTCTGAAGAATACATTTAGGGTGGTGAGGGAATAATATGTATTAATGTGAATAGGGGTTCGTCACATTGATAACCGCGCCTGTATGATCGAACCATGTATGGTCTTTGAGTTAACTAGTGATTCCTTTGTACTTGTTGAATGCTTGATTTCGAACTCTAAATATAGCACATAAGTTTGTGCTTATCTAGTACTTCTTGACCCGATTACGTTATTTCTGAAATTCTTAGTTTATACTATAATTCAAATACCTCTAATCATCACACCATGCCATCACGATTAGTTGCTGCCGCCTTCACGATTGCTGATCTCTCCGTGTTATGTGTTGGACGTGTGCTATGATAGTTATCTCATATTTAGCACTGAGGATCGTGTGGTTAGAACCGGTATCACTGCAGATTTTCTTTCAATCATAAATCTGTAGCAAAATTTATGGCAAGCTTGCATTTTGGCTGCTCCTATCGCTTCAGGTTTTGCATTGCATCTGTTTGTCAATGACAAGCAACAGCTACAGTCATAATATTTCGGAGCGACTTCCTAGTTGTGCCAGGTTCTTTGTTTGTCATGTGACAAGCATTCAGTGCGACTCTTATTCCGAGATCTACCAACTCCAGCTGTGTTCCTCACCTGAGGTGAATGAGTAGAACAGCATTCTGAATGTCGCCTGCATTTAGAAAAGTTATGACGTTTCATGATGAAAACCAAGTTCCTTCGGAAGTCACGAGGCAAATACCCCTTCTGACAATTACAGCAAACATTAATTGAAGTACATTGATTGTTCCTAAATGTAAGAGACTGGCATAGCTCTTCAACTTCCTACAAAAATATAGAGATACAACCTGGAGATACTTGAAGTCAGTGGAAGACATTGGACGCAGGTTGGATAACAAAGACTAGCTTCAGGAGAGCTGCTGTTATACTCCAGAAATGAAGAAGAAAATGCTCCACATACACAAGGAGTTGCACTGATGGTATCTAAACAAGCGAAAAGTGCACTTATAGGATGGTGATTTCATGGACCAAGGATAATCAAAGCCTCCTTCAAAACAAAGAAAGAGGGCATTACAATGAACGTCATCCAATGATATGCGCCTACCAACGATCATAATGAAGGCGTTAAAGATCAAGCCTACGAAGGCTGCAGTCAATAGGTGACCTTGGGAGATCTAAATGCCAAGGTTGAAATGGACAACACCGGATATGAAGATATCATGGAACGACATCGACTAGGAGAGAGAAACGAAAATGGCACTATATTCCCAAATAAGCGCATACATAAAGCTATATAGACTCCGCCAGATCACACTACACAGGACCTAATCGACAATATCTGCATCAACAAAACATTCAGCAGGACAGTGGGGGACGCGAGAACCAAGAGAGGAGCTGACATAGCACCAGATCGTCACTTTTTGGTCTCCAAGATGAAATTGAAACTCAAAAACTACTGGACGACGGGTCGAACAACATCACAAAAGTTTAATGCGGGCTTTCTTCGGGATACTGACAAACTCAACGAATTCAAGATGGACTCCAGCAATGGGTACCAGGCCTTTCACGATCTACT